CAGAGCTGCTGCGGCAGCCCAGCCCGCACCAGGGACCGCCACAGGGCTGAGCCGGTGGGAGACCTCAGACCTTCCATCCTCAGTGCCACACTTGGCCCGTTCCTTCGAGGCCAGGCCAGAAAAATCAGCAGCTAGAGCCGCCCGGCTGGTTAAGGGCAGGACGTACATGCTCCAGGGAGCCGTTCCTGTGAAGAAGCAAAGGGCTGGGCATCCTTGCAGAAGGCATGAGGATCGATGTGTAATTTAGTTAGGCTTGACTGAGCAGGAGATGCGGCCAGTGGAGAAGGGGAAATTTTCCGCTTTGTCCTGACTGCTCAGCATAGTGATCGCTGGGCCAAAATTGTGAGGGAGGGGGCATGGGTGCCCAGCCCGTCAGAGATGCTGGGCTGCCCCTGAGGTCAGGAGGAGCTGTGGGAGACAGGGGCAGGGCAGCGTATCGCTCCCAGGGGAAACAGGCAACAGAAAATAGCCTGGGGGATTAGACTGAGCAAGCGTTCCAAGATTATAGCTCAGAGGTGGGAGCCGGGGCTTTCTTCCCACATTGCTAATCGCTTACCCAGCACTCTGAGCGTCTGAGCCCTGCCGTTGTGCCTCCAAACTGGAGGGTGGGGGCCCATCCTACCTTCCTCCCCCGGGGACCCGACTGCATTGTCAGGCTTAATTCATTAACATTTGTGAAGTGCTCCAGCTCCTAGGCTGGAAGGCAGCATGGATTTGGCTCACTCCTGCAATTGCTAAGCAGCACCAGGGAGAAATGGGGTCTGATCTGGCCCTACTGTGTTGCTATCAGCCAGCAAAGCACAAGGTTAAGCTAAAAGAGTCAGGAAGATGGGGAAGAGCTAAGGCTCTGCAAAGGGATCAATCATGTAAAGGTCGAATCCACATCTCAAATACAACAGACAACCAGCAACAGTGAGGGCTTGGGCTAAAATCACACTGAAAAGAGAAGAGCAACATCTCAAGAGCTAACCAAAATACCAGCAGCTCCAGGAGGTCCCGCTTGGCCTCCTTCCTTGCAAGGGTGGGCAGCTCCCTTCATTTGGCCACAGGAGCTCAGGTCCAAGCCTGCAGATGTGGGCATCCTCAGGAACGGTGTTACACGGGTTCTTATATCCCCAGCATGGCTCCCTGTGTCAGTGGGGAGGAAACTGGAGTCGGAGAGCTGGGCAGCCCTGCCTGTGGAGTACAATTCTCCAGGGGAGCTTTCAGAGCGAGAGGAAAGGGTTTCCAGCAGCAGCAGCTGAGTGCCAGTAAGGCATCGCTGCCTTAGCTCCAGCAGCAGTGCCGTGCAGGGCACGGCGAGGCACTGCCAGTGAGGGGGCCGCGGTGCTCAGCTGTGAAAGCACAAGCTTTGAAGTGTTTTCATTTCTTCTGCGTAAAACTGGGACTGTTTACACGTATTATCTAGTAGCAGATAAAGTTCTCGTCTGACTCAAGCTGCCACCTGCTCCCAGGCATCGTGCTGCATTTGCCTTGGGACTCCCCACAGCCAGAGACGAAGGGAGCGCCCAGGCTCCCTGCAGATCTATTCCTGATGCTGTCCCCAGAGTCATAGGGGATGGCGGCCTTGTGTCCCCTGCAGCCACCTAGGTCCTGCCCTGCTGTCCCCATTGTCCTGGCAGTGAGTGCTGTGGGTGGGGGCCATCTCAAACCCTCCAGCTCTGAAGCCTGTGGGGCAGCAGCTTGTGCCATCTCCCTGGGCAGGCTTGAAAAAGCCCCCAGGATCCTTCTTCTGCGCTGTTGGAGCAGCCCGAGACCTAGCCCTGAGCTTTGGGAAGCTCCTCTGAAGCCTGCCAGCCCTTCCCCTCCCCTGCTGCCCTTAGGAAACGCGTGTGCTCCTGGAGGGCTAAAATTAGCCAGCCAGCTGCGTGGCACGCTTGCACAGGAGCCTGTCCCCAGGCACAACCCGCCAGCCAGGTCTGCTGAGGAGGCAGCATCCTACCCGGGGTAACAGGACCAGCGAGGCTGCTGCAGGGAGGGCAGCGGGAGAGGCTTTCCCCATTTCTCTGACCCCTGAGCCTGTGCAGGGACCTGAGCACCAAACAGCCGAAAGCAGTAGGCAGAAGGGAGAGTGTTTCCTCCATCTGAGCCTGGCAAAGGCTGCCCAGGAGAGGCACAGCCCCTTCAGGTGCCTTGCCTTGCCCAGCACAGGCTGACAGCGCTTTCCCCACCTCACCCGCCCCGGGACCCCACTCCCCCTTGCATGGGCAGGGGTCCCTGAAGCAGAGCGGTGCTTGAGCCGAGGTGCTGCAGCCTGCCCCGCACGCGGCTCCGAGCGCTGCCTTTGCTCCCCTCCCCAGCACGGCTCCCGTACAGAGGCGGCTGAAAAGCGGCGGTGGGAAGCACCGCAGCTGCAGAGGGAACAGGCCATTTTTAGCAGAGCAGCCTCCCCGCTGCTGGGCTGCGGGCAGAGCTGTGCAGTGCTGGGCTGCAGTGCTGCAGCCTCCCCCCCGCTGCCTTACACCCAGCAAAGGTCTTGGCCCCTACCGAGGAGAGAAAGCCTGTAGCTTCATGGCACTTGCTCGCTGCCCTATTTCCCTCTGGCTGGGATCTGATGTGATAACTTGATCTCGTGTGTTTAAACTGCCAGTACTTTTTGGGGGGTGAAGTTTAACAGGGATGTGACGGTGCTTAAGTAGGGTTACCCAACTGCAGGGTGCCATGGGCTGCAAAGAGGGCACACTGAGGAGCCCGTGGAGCTCAGATGCTCCAGGGAACAGCAGCGCTGGAGAGAAGGGGTTCAGGGCCCTCATTTTGGATGTTTCTGTTCCATTTCAGGTGCTTAAAGCCTTTTCTGGAGCTGGGTTTAAAATTAGAGAAGAAATTTTCCTGAGTAACTCCTTTTACTGGTGAAGCGTGGGCTGAGAGGGAGGACAGCCCTATTGAGAGCTGCTGGTAACCCCTTAATGATGGGGTGAGCGACACAGCCAGGAATAGACCCACACAGGCTGAAAAGGGAGCTCAGCTTTTCACCCTCCATTGCCTTTTTCCATCAACCATCTCCCCCCGTCATGGCTCTGGCACCCTGTGGGAACCCATCTTCCACGTCACGAGTATTTGCCAACTGTAGTGCTTCACCAACAGCAATGGTTTCTGCCCAGCAGGTCCCATGGGAGCTAATCCTATTCCCAGGGCCCGAGATGGGGAGACGGCAGTTCAGAAAGCCCTCCCGAGAACAGGCGATGATGGAGTGCAGCAGTCTGAGGCCAGAGGTGCTCACTGAACACTGCCCTCCCTGCCCAAGCCCCGCTGGGAACTGGATCAGGCAGGGAGAAGGATGGAGTCCCCCTGGTCACACCTGTGCGGTGAGTTCCCACCTCCGGCACTTTAACCACCAGCCCACCCTCTCCATCACCATGCTTTGCCCATGTCACCAGAAATGTTCCCACTGCCACCAGAGATGGTTCCAGTCCCAGGGCCTGGCCATGGCTTTGGGCGCCAGTGCTCCAGGGAGCCAGGAAGGGCTGAGTACCATGGGGGTCAATGCCATGAAGCCTTTGGCTGCAGCTGGGCAAACCAACCCTGGTAAGCTGGCCCTGCATGTGCCCCCTTGCCTGTGATGCAGGCAGAGCAAGAGCAGTGAGAATATCAGAACTTCATCTGGAGCTCTGGTGTCCTCCTGGGGGAACCAGAGCAGCCCATGTTCCCCTCAGCAAGGCAGGAGGAAAGCTGTGGGCCAAGGGACCACCATCGTTCCTGCGTGAGGACAGACACATTCATAGCATCCCACAAAGTCATCCACGTGATCCTGCCCAAAGCTCCCGCTTTTGCTCCTGCTCCTTGGCTCGCCAGGGAGAACAACTGAATTTACCTTGAGCAGCTCCTTGGGGAAGTCCGTGCCTCCGTTGAGCCCCTCCAAGTTGCCAATGAAGTCGGAGCAGGACATTCTCTTCCCAATGTTCTGGGGGAGCCAGGGGGAGAGAAACACGGGGGGTTACCTTCAGGCCAGGGGGCTGGTGCTGGCTGGAGCAGATCCCACAGCCCAGGAACAGATCCCCCATCTCTGCAGTGGGGTGAGGGACCAGTCAGGTCTCAGGGGAGGCTGCTTGAAGGTGTGGGGAAGCTGCTGGCTTTGCCTACACTCTGGGAGTCTTAAATAGCCTCCTTTTTCTAAGGTGGGTGCTACCTGCTCCCATGGCAGCTAGTTTTGGAGTCTCACTCTCACCCTCTCTCCTTGCCACTTTCTTCTTCTGTCCTTATCCCACCTCCACATCTTCCAGTTCACCATGTCTCCTCCAAATCCCCACTCTCTCCTTTGCCAGCTCCCTCTCTCACTCAGCATTTCTCCTTTCTCCTCCACAGACACATTAGGGGTGACCAGCCCTCATGGGTCCAGGGTCCCCTACTTGCAGTTCAGGGTGGTGGGGACAGACAGTGCAGGGACAGATGGGGCCGATGGCAGTGGGAACTTACGTGTCCATGCAGATCTGTGTTTAGCAGCATCAGGGCGCAGGTGAGGGTGTGGGCTCCGTCTGCAGCACAAGCACAGGACAGGAATTAGAGCTCCTGGCTCAGCCCCACAGCTGGTGCTCCAGCCCCTCAGCATCTCAGGCAGGGCACGGGGGCTCTGAACCCCCAAGAAAGCTCCAAGCCCGCTCCTCCCACCCCCGGCACACGGGGCACACAGCAGTCAGCGTGGTGCTGGCAGCACGCGGGTGAGGAGGTAGGAGGCCACTGAATTAAAGCTGGTCCCAAACCTGAGCGTACAAACTCCCTCCTAAGCCTGCAGCCCCTTCAGCCAGGGAGCGAAGCTGCAGCAAATCCTGCAGAGCTCCTAGCACGGCAAGGTGGGACCGGCACAGCCCTCTGCCAGCCAGGCAGCCCAAACCTCACCTGCCCCAGAGCCAGCCCAGAGCAGACCCAGCATGTGAACGCACACAGGAGAGGCGCAAAGACGTGAAGCAGTGCAGAGTGGGTGTCTGTGCCGCCCCGAGTGCTGGGCACCCGAGTTTTCTCACCTGGCCATTCCCTGAACCGAGGGTCTGAGAGCGGGGGTCTATTTGGTGAGGAGGGCCTTCTCTCTTGTGCTAATCTGCTCAAGGTCAGAATTAAGGATGGGTTGAGCCCTAATTATGCATGATCCAACCAGAGCAGGTTTGTTTCTATTTTTTTTTTTTTTTAAATGTAAAGCGTCTGTCATTTGAGGGAAATGACCTCTCCATAACTGGGGCTGTGTCCTAAGGTGTCAATACAGGCTCTCAGCCTGCTCTCTGATTTCAATTTGGGCACCTTCACCGAGCTGACGAACACATGGCCTCACCTGAAACACACACACATGCACACACGGGCACGCAGTTTCTTACCCTCCGAAGAGATGGCATTGGGATTACACTCGTAATAGCGCTGGGAAAAATGAGCCAGCACTCGCTCTCGCTCTTGCGTCTCCCCCATCAAGGCCAGCTCCTTTAGAAAGGACCTGAAGAAGTAGCAGCAGCAGCATTGGTCACACTTGAAGCCCACCAGCAGCTTCTCCAACTCGCCTTGTGCAGGATCGGAGTTGTGCTTTCCGGTCTGGAGACCCCCCTGTGTGCCGGATGAAGCCTTGCCATTGCACACCCTTCCCAACCTGCTGCAGGACTCCCTTCCAAGCCCACAGCATCATACCCTGCCGGCACATCACAGAAACCCACAGCCGGCCCTGGGCACTACGCCAGGGAAGGAGGTAGGAGTGACATCAAGAGACTCTGGGCTTGAGGCTCTGGGCTTAAGGCCTGGAAAGCCAGTCCTAGGTGAACCTGTCACCCAACTGCGCTGACTGGTGAGTTGAGACCAGGGATGCTCTTTCGCAGTTGTGTGGCTGCGAGACCACTTCGGGACTCAAACCCTGCTGCATGAGAGGTAAGGGGATCTCCAGGTAGGAGCCGTGGGGTCTGCTTGCTCCTGCAGATCCCTGTGCGGGTGCGGAGCTGCAGAGGGCATGGTCTGCTAGGACCCCACATGGGTGGCCACCACACACACACACATACACGCACTCAGCTCTGACCTGAGAGCCTGGTCCAGGCTCATTCCTGTGAACACAAAGAACTTCAGATATTCCCCTGCCACCATCTTGCTGAACTCGTTGCTGAAATAGAAAAGGGGGAAGTGAGAGTGGGATTGACCTGACCATGGGGTCAGCAAAAGGCACACAGTGTTGGGGTGGATTCCAGGAGGCTGGGAGCTCCCCAAGGCTGTAGGAAGCATGCATGGGACAGAGACACCCCACATTCCCATGAAATTCAGAGGAGTCACCCACAGATCCAGTGGGAATACTGGGCATGCAAGAGAAACTAGAGAAGCTAGAGCTGGAAGGGCCCACGAGAGGTCAGCTAGCCATCACCCTGCCCCAACACCTTACTGAAGCATCCAAGATGTAGTCAGGGTAAGAAGGTACCAAAACCTGGATGTGTCTTAGGTTTCAAGACCTTTAGAGGGAACACCTGTTACACCTCCACCAGGTGTACCAGTCACGGGGAGTGGGCTCTGGGGTCCTGCCAGCTCTTCCCTGCCAGCCCCGTGCCCTGCAAGGGCAGCGGCTGTGGGTACACCCCGGGTGCAGGTGGGCCCCTTGCAGAATGGGCTGTTCCTTGTGAATACCCACACGTACTTCTTCCCCAAGTGACGGGCCACATCTGCTTTTTTAAAGCCATCCAGCTTGTAGAGCCTCTTGGCCAGGCGTTTGGCGGCCTCCAGGTCAGCCTTGTGCCCGTTGGAGAGGGTCTCCGTGCTGCCCAGGGCCAGCTGCTCCACACTGTCCATCTCCGAGTCTGAGTCCGAAACCAGCTGGCTCAGGGGGTGGTCGCTGCAATGAAGGGACACTCCACGTTAGCCTGCCTACAGATCCTCTCCTCATTCAGCTTCTCAGGAACTGCAGGTTCCTCACCCTGCTTTGGAGACCAGCTACTCACTGCTGGGACCCAGGATGAACAACACTGGCTAGAGACACTCTGAGGCCGGGTCTGGGAGCTAAGGGAAGGTTTGGGGATGCAGGAGGAGAGGTAGGGTGACAGGCCAGCTCCAGTGACTGATGACAGGTCCAAGGCACCCAAACCCACATCCAAGCTGGATGTAGAGAGCCAGGACAACTCCTCCAAAGTCCCCCACCCTGAGCCTGTGAAACTGCATGTGTGGGCTCAGGCTCTGCCAAGCTCAGCCGTAGCGGAGACTCAGAGCAGAAACATGTGCACATCACATGCTGTCCTACAGATCCGCACTCATTTTTTAACCTGGGCAAACTCCTCGTGCTGCTCTCGAGCGCAGTTTCTACCCAAGACAAGACAACTGTAATTCCTTCGCTCGCCTCTTCCCACCCACCGACTTCAAAGCACTTCACAGAAGGGAAAGCTGAGACAGAGAGGGTGAAGATGAAGGAGCCCCCCCTGCCTCCCAGCTCACAGCAGGGTGTACTGTCTTCTTCAGGCTGCCCATCAGCTCTCAGCCCACCATGCCTTAAATGGCCATGTTAGGAGACGATCTTGGCTTAGCCCCCAAAACACTCTGACTCAGCCGCGCAGAAGTTATCCCAACCAAAAAAAAGGTTGAATCTAATCAACAATGAACGTTAAGCAACTCTGACCTCGCCCAAATTTTCTGGCAGCCCTCGCAATGTTCCAGTCTGATTTATTTTTAAAAGTCTCTAATTGACTTTTAAGAGGCCTGCTCTCCTGAGCCAGCTACCCGGGACAATCTCCTTGAGGCTCCGCTTCTTCCACGAAGGACAAGCCTCCCGGCTGCTCAGCGCTGCCTGTCTGGGGAGCCCTGTGCAGCACCAACAGGCTGCCCCGTGTCTCGAGGGGCTCTCGGGCGCCTTCCTCCCGGCATCCCTAGCTGGTGTGCAGTGGGGGAAGCTGCTCTGCACTCAACCCCATGGGCCAGACACTTCCCTGGTGAAAAAGTGGCTCTGACACCCGGCAAGTCCCAAGGGACATGCACTTGGCTTGGACCACCCTGGTGGGAGCAGCCATGAGAGTTGGCCACAAGGTCACTAGGAACTCACCGGCTCCAAGTCTGCCTGCTCTGGGCAGCTGTGCTGGGCAGGAGGCTTCCAGCATCACCGTCCGCATCACCAGCACGCCCTGTCCTGCGGGCACCCTTCCCACCGCCTAAACCCCCTCCTCCTCCCAAAACAGGGTGGCCACATCCAAAGGTGCTGCTGGCATGGGCCCTGGTGCTCGTTGCTCTCCAGCTGTGCCCCAGCTGTGCCTGCACTGGCTGTCAGGGCCAAAGCCGCCCTGGGGAGCGCCCGACAGCAGAACAACTGGGTGCTGCTGTGGCAGTGCTGGGCACACACCTCGGCCCCGCTCCGGCTCCTTGTGCGGCTACAGCTGCTGTGCCCTCAGCCAAGGGCAGGGCGCACAGGCTCTTTCCTTCCCAGCAGCAGAGGAGATCAATCCATCCCAAGCAACTGGCACCTGCCAGCCATGGGTTGCAGTGACTTATTTTTCGCTAAAACTCTATCTGCTATCACAGGGGCACAGGTACTGTCCCCTTCCCAGCCCAGCAGCTCCAAGGCTGCTTTTCCAGCCACAGGCTGAGCTATAAAACTCAAAGCCACCTCTCCATCACTCCCCATGCTCCAACTGCACCTCCAGAGCAGGTTAGTCACCCTCTGAAGACCTTTTCATTCTTCTCAACCACCACCACAAAAAACTCCCAGTACCCTTCTGGATCTCGCCTGTCCTGCCCTGAGAGGTTGTCCTCCCTCACATGGCCGGCTCCTGGAGCCTCTGGGGGCCAACCTAGAGCTCTGAGTCTCCTCCTGTGACCTCTCTTCTCAACCTGTGGTCCTCAGCTTTCCTACCTAATGTTGAGCATTAGGGGGCCATTTACAAAACCTCTCTTGTCCTTCAACATCTGTGTCTCCCTACAGGCTCCCAACCTATGGCTGCAATTCTTGCCTTGCTTCTTGCAATGGGCATGCAAGGATCACAGCCTGGGTCTCAAAGCAGCTCTACCAGTGGGATCTACTGTCCCCTCCCTCATCAAGTCCCCATACTGATTTGGGGTTTTACATCAGCAAACCTTGCTCTCAGGATGAGGTAGTACCCAGCCATGCCATGAAACCTCTTCTTCCAACACTGAAGCCACTCTCGTGCAGTTAAATATGGACCTGGATAGGCTCATCAGCCTCTACAGGCTGGGAGTGCCCCATTCGTGGCACCCATCTGTCACCATGCAAAGCCCCAGCTGGCTTGGAGGGTGTGCTGCTTAAAGAGAGAAAACCAAGAGCCCAATCCTCAAGCAAATGGAGAACAGAGCAGAGACATGTCCATGTCAGAGGCAACTGAGGTGATGCTAATTTTCTTGCCAATGAGCTAATGTCTCAGGGTGGTTTTTTTTTAGTGTACTTTCTAAAGTGACATTTCAGTTTGGCTTCAAGAAACACTGAGATAACATTTTTTACATTAGATACATTTTCAACCCGAGAACTGGCCCACACTTAAGGAATAAAGATCAAATTTGGTATTGTGTGAGTATCCTCAGCGTGCCTGAAATGAGTCATCCCCGAGCGGACCCAGCGCTAGCTCATCCCTCTCCCTGCTGCCCGCCTAGGACAGCCACTGCTGTCCCCATGTCACTGGGACCACAGGTCCCCCTGCCACCTCGAGGGTGTTTGCCAGAGAGCCCAGGGTCCCCAGCACTTCTGGGGACCTCTGCAAGGCAGGCACGTGATCCAGCTCAGGGCTCGCCCTGGGACAGAGGCTCTTCCTCGACCACCTCCCACCCCAGCTCAGCATGAGGGCTGGGTTCCACTCCCAGCCCTGGGAAGCAGCTTCAGGACCACCGTCCTGCTCATGGCCACCGCACCACAGACACTCCTTCTCCAGGGCCAAAATGCTCCTTCTTGGGGCCAAACGCTCCTTTGGAGCCATATCCTCATCTTGCCCTAATATTCCTCCTCTGGCCAAGTGTCCAGAGCCCAGCAGGAGAGATCACAGCACTTTCCCTGGCTGCAATGCAGCGTGTCACTGCAGGAGCCCCGACATCCTCTCCACCTTGCCACCACAAACCGGGCTCACCCGGCACCACGTTCTCTCCATGGCTGTCAGCAACCAGGAGCAAATCTTCCCTCCCGGATGCAGGACAGCAATAAGGCACTAGCTCAGCAAAGCCTGTCCCAGAGACCTGACCTCCAGCTCCTGGCTGTCAGCAGGGATATACCTGCATGGTGGGACCCTTCCCACACTGTATCTGCATGGTGGGACCCTTCCTGCACCAATGCCTTGCTCCCCAGGAGCAGGGAAGGAGAAACATCCCTGGCCATTGGTTTTAGCTGGGGGTGCTCTGCTGAGCTCCTGGGTTGTCCAGGTCCTGTCTGACACACTTCCAGGTGAGACACCTGCTGTAGGAAACTTAAAACCTCCAACCATAATCCAAGTGCCACTTGGTCCCCATGGGAGGCTGGTCTGCATCCTGCACTATGAAGGGACAGGGCAGGAGCCTGGGCTGAGTCCATGAGGGACATGTGCATGGGGCAGAGCAGCACTCTGCCCTCGATTCCCAGCGCCCCACACGCATGGCTGGATGCCCAATGCCTCTGCCAAGCGAGCCCAGCCTGCCTAATATTGCTGCTAAGAATGTACCAGACCGGATCTTTGGCTGAGCTAAATAAACGCAGCTCCCTCCATCGGTCTCAGCGGAGCGACTTTGATTTATGACAGCCAAGATCTGGACTGGTTCATTCCTTGCAGAATTGAAGTTAGGGCTGGGAGGACACTTGAAGGTCAGCCAGGCCAGCCTCCAACCACAGGCAGGGCTGGTCCTGCTTTCTGGCAGCTCTGGAGTCCACCCTGGTCCTCAAATCCCCCAGCCACAGACGCACCCACCAGTGTTACTGCTACCAGCTCCAGGTAGGACTGAACTTCAGGTAGCTGTACACCTCCTCAGTCCTGTTTCTCTGCAGACTTCCAGAGCCTCCTCTGCAGCACCAGCCCTCTCCAGAGATGCCTGCCTGTCCTCCATCACCCCGTTCCACCAGCCCCTCTTGTGGGAGGCACAACTGCTCCTGCAGAGGACAGGGGCTGACTCTGCAATCCCACCCAACCCAATCTGGAGCCAGCTGAGAGCCTTAAAACCTGGTTACTCACCTGCTGGATGGAGGGCTGTCTTCTCCTTCAGAGACACAGATGCCATGGGGCCAGCACAGGGAAACCTGGGTCTCTTGGACCCTTGGGCAAAGCCCAGCTTAGGGGACTTTAGGTCAGATCGGGGGGCTGGAATTAATGCCTGACACGGGGGTCTGCATCCCATGGGGATGTGCTGCTGCCCGTGCCTCTGTGGGCAGCCCCCCCAGCCCCGGCATCCTGCCTGCTGCCCCATCCTACATGCCATGGGACACCTGGTCCCAGCCCTGCCACCCCATCGTCTGCCCCAGCTCCTGCTACCCTTCATGGCTCCACATGGAAATGCTTGGGGGAAAATCCCCCCCCAGGCTTGTGCCCCATTTCTTGCCATGCCAGTGCTTGTGAGGAGACCTCTTCATCCTGCGCCCCAGGCCCGTCCCCCTCCTGCGCTCCCG